TTGCTTGTTTTAGATTTCTCCCATCAGAATTCACAACCACTTACATTTTTAAAAAAAAGGTACCTTATGCAGGTGCCTAATTGTGAACTTTTCATTGATTAGGCACCAGATTCTATTAGATCGAATGAAATGGTGCCGAGTTCGGGATAGTGATTTTTGTGAGCTGCAATGAAAGGAAAAGTGATCTGTATCATTTACAAGATAAAGTTCTTCACTAGCACTGTACAATATGAAGTTTCTAAAGTTATGCAGAGTGCAAGGGTCACATGGCAGTACAATTAAATGTAACCTTTCCCGACCCCCCTCTCAGCTCTCTGAAAAACCCTGTGCTCCTTTTTTTATCATTAGTGAAAAATGAAATGCAAATAATGACCCTCAATCAGAACAGGATCATAAATAAAACAATGCTTATTATCTATTTAGTATTATCGCGAATCACTTTACCAAAAGGTTACCTGAATGTACTATACAATTCTCTCAGTACATTAAAAAGTTTTGTTAATTATCTACAGATACTTATTTGATTTCCTTGTAGCTTTCAGATTTTATTGTGCTGAAAATTCAGATTCACTATCAATATACAGTATTCTGAGCCAACAGAACTAACAGCTCTATGCAGATTATAATATGAGGTTACTGTCTTTATAGAAGATCCACGGTCTATTCCATTTCAAATGGTCACATATCTCTTCTCAAAAACGCAGGAAGATCTGAACCGTGTATTGATCTGAAGAGAAATCGGTTAAGATACTTCACAGGTAACGACACGCTGGCTATCTATGTCTCACCAACATCGCAGACGGCTGTCACAGCTCCCGGCCTGCACCGCCACACAATGCAGACCCTGAATGAGTCGTTTCTCCTGATGCGATCGCACATTCAGACGGACACTATTAATGCTAATCAATTCTGGATTTTCTGTGCCACTTGGCTGGAAACCCACAGGGGACGCCCCGCCGGCCTTGCCTGCCCCTCGGGTTAGTGACAGAGAAAATAAAGATGCCTCACTTTCCCCCCTCCCAATAATGATCTATCCACACGACGCACGATTGTCTTTTAAGAGCTAGAGATGCATCCCTGTTACCCCGTTTTAACAAGTTTTCAATATTTCACAGTTAGATACGGGGGCAGATGCATTCATTCAGCTTAAGCACTTGGGCTGAAACACAACCCTGATGAACAAAGCGCTTAGTCTCTACAATCATCGCTCTCCGTTAGTGTTGCACAAAGAATCGGTCTTCGGGTACAACAACCCTCAGGAGCAGAGGAAATATGTTGGTTAGAAAAGCACAGAGGGTGCCATTTCCTCTTTGTGTTTCTGCATCTCTGTTCATCAATGGAACTTCACTGCTTCCAGAATCTGAAAGCAGTGTTCCTTGTAAGGGGTTAAATTGAGACCCCTTTTGAACAGATGATAATTCAGATGGTCGCAGTATTCCAGATGCATCAATTTCCTTGAAAATTCAATCCATGCATGTGCATATGCTGTGCTGGCAGGAGTACTGACTAAAATGGCCAAAACCCAAAAGCTAATATTCTTTTGGCCAGAATAATGCAATTATTATTTTCCTAGCTATCAGCCTAAGCATACAGTGCCATCTGTTATACAAAGCAAACATACACATCTCAATTACAGAAAATGCAGCTGCCTTGACAGATCCTGGATTGTAAAGTTAACTGGGGCTTTTAAGTTCTGAACTACTATGTAACAAATGCCTTCATGGGAAACTCCTTATCTGCACTTACAACTTAACTCTAACTTTATTTTGAAAATAAAACCAACATAATGTTATTTATAAACCATTTGTTTCAGACGAAAAGAGATTCATATTTGCAAAATGGTTATACAGGTGCCGTACAATCAAGATGTTTTTAATGGCACAGAAACAGTCCTGTTGTAAACCTTCATTAGCACAGCAATATGACATAACCTGAGATGCTTTTAAAATGCATTTATTCAGAAATTTACAAATCCCAACAAGCCTCACGAATATGCAACATCTCGTTTCCAAGAGCTTCCCAAGGGAAAAGAGAATCCAATCACACATTGCATCATGGATTCATTCGTTCAAGATTACCTGTAATTAAACCCCCATGTGCTCTTATACAATTAAAAATGAATTACAACAGAAGAAACAAAACGTACCCGGCATTAAAACACCACACATAAATTAACGGCACAAAATGATATACTTTCACAGGCATTTTTAAAACAAAATGTTTCAACTGGAAGCTCTCGTCTCAAAGCCTTTGAAAATCAAAACAACATAAAATTCAGCGAATCCTTCTGCTTTTAACCAAACTACACAGGTGGCCAAACACCCTCTTTGCTGAACGGACCGATTGTGCTGGAGTGTGGTGACACAGCGCTGTTCCACAGGACTCCCCGGCCAGCAGCAGATTACAGCCATGAAGGGAAACTGTATTACATGGCTTTACACCGCTGAGACCTGACAAATAGACATTATGCTATAACTAGAAGTGCGTAAGACAGACTGAAAGAGCTGGAGGATTAGGTGCGGCGGGTTTTGTAAAGTCTCCAAGTGATAACACCGCGGCGGACGTGCTCTTCAACAGACCCGACTTCCTAGTCCCGGGCACGAGCTGTCTGTCAATTAAGGCAGCGCGTCCAGCACTGTGGAAGCACCCCTTAACTGTCCTTAACTATTCATTCATCTATCGACGCAGCTTGTGGTCGGAATGCAGATGCTGAAGATGCAGTTTAACCTGAGGGCAGCTGCACGTCCTGAGGCTGCCGGGCGACACGGAACTGTCACCCCCACCCCACCCCTCTGGAGGAGCGCCAGAAACCAAGCCACACCTGCAACCTTTCTGCAAATGCCACCCATCTAAGACGTACTGTTCCGCATTACAACACAGGGCTGGAGTTTCTGCACAGATTGCTTTCTGTCGGCTCGAGGCTGAGGCTCGGCTCGGAGGCCTGTCTGCTCTGACACCTGGACGCGGGCAGGAAACGCCGGAGACGGGCTAGGGAACCACGCCAGGCGCGACATCAAAGCCAGCCCCCCCTCTCCCCCGCCACTAAACAGATTTTTTCCCCGATCGCCCTGACAGTTGTGCCGGGGCATGGAGGCAGAGGGGCGAGCACTGCTGTATGTCGCAGAACATCTCCGATACGTCAGGGTGCCGGCAGCACATCTGGAGGGATGGGCCTGAGGGTCACCCAAGACGGCACCCATGCTGCCACTGGGCACAGCACCCATCTGACAATGAGAGCTCACGCTAACGCAGAGGGTTGATAAAAATTCCTGGCTGCGCCAAGCAGCATTCGGCACAAAACCACTAGAACATGTGGGCGATATCAAACTGTGTAGCACACCCTAGGGCTCCAACACAGTAAATGGGCAGAGCTCTCACAGGGGAGTGTGATATTAAACTGTTAAAGTAATACTGTCTGTTGGCAGACATGCATTTTAATGATACAGAGCAAATTCACATTAAATGACCTTTTTTCATTGCTCACAACTTTGAAATATATATATATATTTTTACTCTCTCTGCTGGTATCAGTCTAATTAATGACTTGAAAATTCTTTTTGTTATGCAGGATTTTCCACAGGTCAAACAATATTATCACTATCAGGCATTCGACAATGGCACAGTATGAAAATCCTCTCATGTAGGTCTTTTTTAAACACTATGCCACAATACTTTCTAGCTTTGTCTTCCCGAAAGCGTTTAAAAAATGATTTCATTAAAAAATGCTTTTGGACGCTTCAATACGAATAAGCCATATTTGGCATGTGCTGTAAGAATAAGAAAAACTATTTGTTGTAATAAATTGTTATATTATTTTAAAAACACTTTCACCATATGCATACCCAGAAAACACAGCTTGCTAGGGACTATAGTGCTAAAAGCTTGATTCCTCCCTACCCTCTCTGCCAGCCCTATGCAGATAAAACCTTTGTCAAGATAACTCCAAATGAATTTCAGAAGGCTTAGAAGACTAAATTTACAATTAATCAATTATTTGATAAAAATCACTAATCAATTAATATCAAATTAATTTCTGCTTGCAATTATTCTGCTTCATACAATTTATCGTTTATTTAATTTAGCAAAAAAAAATCACTCTTTGATCTATATTTGTCCAATGTCATCATTTTCTGTGTGTTGTATTGCAAGTAATTTCTTTTAAATGCTCTTCAGAGAAGAAGGTCAGAGGTTTTACTATACTACCTATTATGTCGTACCTTTTCATCCTTCAGCTGTATGGTATATTGAGTAATGATTCACTGTAGATTCAATACAAATACGTCCTGAGAAAAGTGGTTAAGTTTACAGTTTTATTCTTCCCAATTAAGTCTAAAAGCATTCCCTTTGCTGTTCTTCAACCACAGATCACAGTGCAGATGACAGAAAGTAAAGAAAATTGTGGCTTTTGAAAACGATTAAAGTACAAAGATTTAAAAGTTAATATTATTCACAATATAAACATTTTAGGTGCTTACAAGAGAGTCAAACAATTTCCACAGGTAGTTATTATTGGTTACCCGGTCAATTCCTTTCACACAGTAGTTAGGATATGGTTTAGATTTACTCGGGTACAGAGGCGTTGTGTAACTAGCCTAAGGTAATGATTTATACTGAATATTAGAGAATAAGAAGCTACAGTGACTTTCTATAGCACCAGAAAAAAGAAAACAGACTTACACACTAAATTCTGGATATAAATGCAAATACATTTCAATGGATGAAGCAAAAAGGGATCTACTCTATATCGGAAAAGCGAATTATAGGGCTGTTTGCTCAAATCCCAGTTCAGGACACTGCTGCTGTATTCCTAACCAAGGTGTCTTACCCAGGTGGCTTCAGTAAACCCAGCTGTATAAATGGATACCAACATTTGTATGGAAAAGCTTCTGCGAGCCTCTTGAGATGAAAGCATCAGCCAAATAAATTAAAATGAATATAATAAATCGTAACAAGCACTTTGGCACAGAGCTGATAAGAAAGTGACAACCAGGGTTACTTACTTGTGAGAGCCCCAGGTATATGGACACAGTTTCAGAGATGTATAAAAACTTTCCCTCCTTGTTTAGTGCAAATACAAATCCGTCCAGAGACTGCAAGACAAAGAACAGGAAAAAAAAAGAAAAAGAAGGTGAAGCCTTATTAGATGCAAGTTGTTGGAAAGTCACTCAGTCAAGACAAGCCAAATCCCAAAGCAGCTTAAGGACATCTGCAGATCGGAAACAAAGTGAATGGAGTCTCAAGGCAGCGATGTCTCAAATTATGTGTTATGTGTTAGGTAAACTCACTAATTAAGAGCAATTTCAACGAGCAGCGCATTCAAATTGATAAACAAGGAACTGTTTTCTTTCAGCTTTTGAAGCTTTTTTTTATGTTCATTTTACATGCATTGCCTGAGCACTGCAAAATAATGTTCTCATTTCCATTTTTTTCTCAACAACATAGCAATGCATTTCATTTTTACGTATGATAGCTCAGATGTTCCTACATTTAGTCCTCAGCTGGCTACAAATTTCAGATTTAAAAGTGAAAGAATTTTACACAATGGAAGACAAACATCCTAAAAAACTCTGAATTTCAAAGCTAATTGCAAATCAAATGTAACATTCTATCCTCATTCTGCAATATCAGAATTTAACAGTCAACACATTTTAAACAAATATATTAGAAGCTAATGAATGGTAATGAATCACAAAAGACAAAAATAACAAATGATTAAAAACAATCCAACATACTTTTTTTTCAAATGGTGAGCATATAATGATGTCCTTCAGTACATCACAAAAATCAAGTTATTTATCCGCTGTGAACAGTCACAATTTTGTTCTCATCACAGTTTTGAAAATATGGGGTTGGGGTTGTCATGTTTGCTAGGAGGATTCCGACTTAGTTTTAGTGGCAACAACTTTACTAAAGCTTCAAGTACAAGATAGCACTATGAAAAACTGCTCTTTGACAGCAGTTATGAACTGAACAAGGGTCTGTAGTTCTAGCAATTAGAAATGTCATAAGAATTAAGAAAACTAAAACTACTAACCTCCATCAATGCTAAACCCGTTATTTTATGAAAGCATTATACTTTCAAAAGAGGTGAGAAACGAAATGGCGGTGTTCCATTTTGAGGCGATCTCCAACAAAATTAAGGCCTTTTATATCAAATACTTCAAAATTATTATTTTCTGCTAAGTATAATCACTGCAGGCTACTCCAGTCCTAAAGATGTCTCCAACAGGCAGCAATTAAGATACTAAGGTCTTAGGGGTTAATTACATATTGTCCCCCACTATGTGTGATAATCGGCACGTGCAGTTAGCCAAGGGTGGACTAAGATGTAAGACGTCACTGTGAAAAAACAAAAGAAAAAATCTTTTTTGAACAGCAAACAATGCCTTGTGTGAAATGTGACAGACTTGTTCGCATCTTTTTGGGAAAAACAGGGAGGGGAGAGTCACGATGAACTAGCTAGCCTGCTTCTTAGATCTTCCCATTTATTTCTGATTTAAAAAGCAACAGCAGCTGGAGAAGTGAAAGTCATTTCCATACTGCAGATAAACCCAAATCACCCCAGGCTATTTACAATGTGCAGATATGGAGCTGACTTTACCAACTCCCATTGAATTGTTCTGTAAAAAATCTTCAGAAAACACACAGATTAAATGCAAAATGTTATATATTAAACTTTATATTACTAATAATGTCAGTGTTTGCGGCTCATTTGACATTTTGCATCAGTACGAGTAAAAGATTGATAAGTCCTTCATTTTTCAATAATGCTGCATGAAAGATGAACAAATCTGCATTAAATGGTAACGCCTCATTCCTTTGGACACAGACTTTCCAAGAGAACAATCTCCTTCAATTAAATTATCTTGGACTGGTACTAAAAAAACAGCGAGAGATGCGTTATTTTCCATTTACACTTCTGTCGTGCTTCATTGTTAATCTGTATGTGTAACAGTGCACATACAAATGCTTTTTGTTCTCTTCAGTGACTTTTTCAAATTTTAAAAGTGTAAAAAAAACCACACAAAAAACATTCATCCATTAATTAACGATATCTAATTAGTAACAAATGTTATGGTATTAACATTTCCTGCCCACCACAGTAAGGCACAGTAATTGCTTCGCATTTCATTTCATTTCTCAATTACCTGCGAGAAAGGATCTTACAAAGCTGGGCCCCTATCACTGTATGGTACTGGAAACGATATGCAGCAGCAAATGAAATTCTGATTTTATTGCTGTCACACTCAGAATCCATAAGATTTAGCTTTAACTTTTACCCCATGATCCGGTCTGGATGAACACGATTCCCAGCTGTTATTTTATTTCTCCTGTCTGTCCTCTCCATCTCAACTAGGGCTGCAGGGACACGTCCGTTAGCTGCCAGAGAACTGACACTCACCTCCGCCACACTGCACTGTGCAGCGTGGGGCTGCCCGTGTTGAGCCAAGGTAGCACATGACATTTTACGCTTAAGGTGAAACCCCTGAGTAGCGTTTCAGGTCAAAAGTAGCCCATTCACTCTCAACTCTCAAAAATATTTCCAACCCTGTTTTTTTTTCTTTTTAAAACAAAAAGCCATCTGCAATACTCGAAATGCAATTCTCTGGAGAGGATCACTTCATGAGAGGAAGCTTCAGAGGTGATAAACTGCCTCTGTTTACTGGCTAACTGCTGTGTAAAGTGAGCGATAAATCATGGGAGAAACAAACTTCTGATCTAGGCGAGAACCAGGTTACATTAAGAACACTGGATGTAATTTATTTAAATCGCCACGCTTCTCTGCTTTCCTTGGTGTTGTGAATAACCAGCAGTGCCAGATCACGCTGAAAAGATCCTGTCAATGGGCATAAACACTTTCGCCTGCACAAAAAAGCGGGAAGGGAGAGTTAATGTGACACCTTCCCTTCCTGCTGCAGTGCTGACCTTCTGCCTCTGCTCCACAGCTGGTATCTCCACACAGGTGAAAAGACAATCTGGAGCAGAGCTGTCAACACCCCTCAGATCCCATACTGCACTCCGAGGCACAAATGTATGTTCCATAGCTAGCCCGTAAACTGATTACTCGCAGCAAGGAAGATAAACAGAGGAAGATTATATCAAAGGCAACAAATAAAAATAAACGGTATATACAGTTGCAGGTTGCCTTTATGGATTATGAAGCTAAGATACCGTGCGCGGAGAAGAAAGATGACTGAATTTTTCCGCAAGTAAAAACAGTGCCGCTTTCGTGCACAAAAAAACAGCTGAACTTTTCCCTTACATCCCTACTGGAAGCGTTTCCTCACACTGTGTACTGTATTCAGGGAGGGTGCAGTTTTCAAGCTTTTAAACAGTGAAAAAACCCAAAAGAATCAGGACAAATAGGCAATGCTAATATGTAATGCATTTTTACAGAGCCGTCCAAAAGGGGACAGCAATCTTCTATTAGTATTTGTAATCTTAAAATTACTATTAATGATAATTGTAATTTATTTTTGGGTACTTCCATGAATTGGAATGCCAAATGGGTGTATACTTTGCCAGAACAAAAATGTTCTTCTTGTTCTCTCCAGCGATTTCAAATGACCATAAGCATTAGGGCACATTCACAGGCATTCTCTTCGAGATAAGCAGACAAAATGTTTCTGCCAACTTCAGAATTCGCTCTCCTGCAGCTGTCGTGAATCGCATCATCAGCAGAGACGAGCGACCCAGTTCCAGAGCTGGCCAAGCATGTCCACACCATGACGTTACCTCCACTAGGCATCAGAATTAACTCACAGGCACACAGATGGGCCAGGAGAGTTTTGGAACAAAGTTCCAAAATGATATGACTGATATGATATGATTTTTAGAAGAAGGCATTTTAGGAAGTTGTAGTTAGTCTCAATATCCTTATATAGACATACTTTTTTAAGAATAGGAAGATGAAAAGGCTTACAGAATAAGAGCTAAACAAGGAAACACAGTGCCTGTCTCCTCTCATGAAAGAGAGCATAAAGACAGCAGGCCAGCAGTGTCACGGCCAATGGAGGCTGACACTGCTGCGAGAAACCATCCAGCGATCAGAAGGGAACGTGTGGACTCAGCGGGTGCTGAATGAGTAGGAAAGGGTCTTTGATCTAAACGTCTTTAGCCTCCAGCCACTGCAGTTCTGCATGCTACAAATAACCCCAAGGAAGGCCGTGGTAATTATGTGATCTGCAAATGTGTTAACTCTTGTGAAACTGATTTTGAGAAAGGCAGCCCTCAAAGAAGCGATCTCAAACCACTGGAGGGCGGAGGGGAGAAGCAAAAGCAAATATCAGTTGTTATTTCAGTTTTACAACTGTATGGCAGTTATTCTTTCCCACCGAAGGAGACAGAAGTGGGACTCCGGATGCGCGTGGCGTTTTCGGAAGCGGAAGAGCACGTGCTCGGTGAAGTTTACTCCATTCTACTGCACCGTGACGTTCTGACGCAATGACAGCGCTTCGTAGGTTCGTGCAAATGACAAAGGCCACAGCAGGCCACAGCATCGCTCCGATGGCGTCCTCACGTGGGGCAAATCCCACTCAAATGAAGGCACTGAAGCTCTCAAAAACAATCTCTGCTGCGCACGAGTCTGGAGAGCACTTTAGACCAAAGGCATTAACAAAGCCACTGGAAGTCTCTGTAGATGGGTTTACCGACTATTAACATACCATTAAGTATTAGGCCAGACAAAATGGAAGAAGGCTTCAGGACCACAGGCAGCTGGCAGTGTAATGACCACATGCTCCAGTCTCAGAGCACTAAAGAGCAATCACCACAATTAACAAATACAGCAGGGCGGGTGGGCGTTTGCACCAGTTACTGACTGCATAGCTCAGGAAGATGTGTTTTGACACTTTTTTTGTTTACTTAAGCTCACAAAGAAATATATGAATGGGTCTCTCTCTTTCTTTCAAGCAATATTCCCACTACAAAAGGTTCAGAGGGATTTTCTAATTTGACGCACAATCCAAAGGGAAAGAGCAGAACTAGTACATTTATCCGTAAGATTTAATGTACGGCAGTAAATTACAATTCACAAGGAACCATTCAGAGGAACTTGGGAAGCTAAATTGGGATTAAAGAAAAAAGTATA